AAATATATACACGTATAACATTTCTAGCTCCAATTATTGTCTATATGATCATAAAACAATTAATTTATTTTTAAATAAACATTACATTGTCAAATAGTTTTAGTAATGGCAGAAACGCAGACGTTACATAATATCCATGTACGTATACGTATACCTAATTGTTTATTTTATAAAATAATCAATTTCATAGTTCACTCAAATTTCTAAAAGCATAAAAGTACCTCTCGACTATAACTGATTAAAAAAATTAATTAGTAGTCAGTTTTTAAAATTTAAACAAATTTTTCATCGTGTTAACCATTATTAGAACAAAGTTTATGCATAATGTCATATTTTTTTAAATTTATATACGTCTAATCGTCAAAAGTGAATTTTAAAAAGTAAAATATAAGATTCATATTATATACACCTTTAAATAATTATTTTAACCCAGTTATTCTACTAATTTTATTATTTGAAATTACTTATATTTAAATTAGGTAATATTATACTACAAATTTCAAAATCAACATCTTTATACTAAAGATATGAAAGAAAATTAATTGTTAAGGTACCTCACTGCATATCCTACTTTTCACTTAGGTATGAGATTATACTTTGAATATAATTTGTATTTTTATATAATCACATATGTTTTTATGCCTTACTTAACCTAACTTAAACTAACTAACTGTTATCATAAATATGATGGCATCTTTTAATTATAAAAATTAAAACATATGCATAGAAAAATTAATTGATTTTCTTTAATTGATGAAAGTGCTCAAGCTAATAATGAGTGATAGAATTAAAATAATAAAAACTCATATGATTAAATTAAAATACACAACAATATAAAAATTAAAGTGTAAAATATTTCAAGATGAAAAGAACTCTGACCAGGTTTGCTCACCTCAGTATAGTATAACTTTGAATTAAAATATGAAATGTGATCACAATAATTGTATAAAATAATAATTAAACTATTGTAAATAGCTGGTTTATTTTATCAAACTAAATATAGTTATTAAAACAAATCATAAGATCTTTTGAAGTGTATTAAAGACTATAGGTATATATTCATTATCTAACATAAGTACGGTGTATACTATTGTTGTATTTAAAATTAAAAATTCTTTTAACAGAAATATTTAAATAAATATTTGTAAAATATACTTTATCGTAGAACAGTACTTAAGTACTTACGGCAAGTGGATTAGATTTTGTGATTTTTAAATACGTTATAATAATCTTAAACCATATATCACACCTATTATCTTATATTTTAATTGTTTAAATTTTATAAGTGTAAAAACCCAAATTACTCGTTTAAACGAAAAATAATAAAATAATAATACTCATAACCATTATTTATAGAATAAAAAATGTTTACGTTATTCAAATCTTAAGTGTTCATAATAACTCATAATTTTCTTGTTTAATAAAAAAAAATTATTAAGCGAACACACTTATCACATAAACTAACCATCACATTCCTATCAAATGTCATTGTAATTTAATTAATCCGCTTAAAAATAACTAAAAGTTAATACGTTTTACCATAAATATACAACATTTCCATAATTTTTCACAAAAACTATTCTTAAAAATAGCTAAAGTTCAATTTCTAATCTAATTATGAATCGAGTAAAATTTATCCATTATTTTTAGTTAAATAATTTAATTTATTTAGTTTAATCGCTAGGCATAATATATTATGCAATTCATAGAACTACAGTAGTTGTGACCCAAAATATTTATAAAGTTTTACTAAAAACACAGATTATTTTATTTTTGTCGATTACAAAATCAAGCTTATATCTTATCACTTTGAAAGCTTTCAATGATATATTATTTCAAGATTTTTAATTAATTTTCTTACAAAATAAATTATATAAGTAGGCAGGTAAGTACATTAGGTATTTTCGTCATTCCATCGTTAAACAAACAAAAATCGAGTGATCGATTAATATATACATATATAATATGGATGATTATTCCTGTATTATATTCCTAAAAATTAGAATGAACTTTCTGTAATAAAATTCAATTTAAGTCACATATTATATTATTGTTTACATAATATTATATTATTTAACCAATAATTATAATACTAGTTTATAAATGCTGATTTTTTTTTTTTTAGTGACAAAACTATTAAAATTTTGAACTTAGATTTTTTAAATTCTTTTATGACAAAAACAAAAGCTTTTTTAAGAAGGACTTTAATTTAAATAAAATATATATACATATCTATAACATAATAATTAAAAACAATTAATATCAAACATTAACTAAAATATTATAAACATTAATTATAGTAATAGATAGTCAATATTTATTGTATACGAGACGCCATATTATTGTTATTTTTTATAATTATTTTGGTATTATTTTTATTGTTCTTTAGCTAAATTTAATTAGCATTCTTCAATGTTATAACTTATTTGCAACAATTATTTCTATTTTTAATTCTAGTACAGATAGACGAAGTACTTTAAAAAATGAACCAAAGACTAAAGTCACAGTCAAACACTTGTTAGAATTAATGTAATTTGTACTGTTGTAAAACAATTACCGAGTATCATAAATACATTAGATCGCATAATTAAAAAGAAGTCGCACCCGCATATGTTGTCTCCATCTTACACACGTACGATATAGTAAATTTTCGTTCATCAGTTTCAATAGTGTGCTTTTATAGTTTTGATAGTAGAGTGAATTGACCTATTATCAAAATTTTAGTGAAGAACATTATCTGAGTTTTCTCGTTGGTTTTTTACGATATTTTAATTTTTAAGTGAATTATAAGTATTTTTAAATATTTATATTTAAAAATACTCATAGGTAACTTACTTAAAAATTAAAATATCGTAAAAAACCAACGAGAAAACACAGATAATGTTCTTCGCTAAAATTTTGATAATAGATCAATTCACTCTACTATCAAAACTAAAAGCACATTATTGAAACTAGTGAACGAAAATTTACTATACCGTACGTGTGTAAGACGGAGACAACACATGTGGGTGTTTTAACAAAGTTGGTTAAATACTTCCAGAAAAAAATCAAAGAGAAGTTTAATCAATGAAAAAATATTTCACCTCATTGAAAAATTTGGTTATGTCTTCATTTTGGTATAAAATACTATCGTGCATTGATCAAAGAAATATTATTATATATATGTGTGTGTATAAAGAGTATCACTAGATTAAGCTTCTTTCAAATTTAACAGAAGGCCGACAAAATATACGAAATAGTTGGCTTCAAATTTTATTTGAACCACAGCAAGTAGCTAAAGAAATGTAATTAATAAAAATTTTGTAATTAATTCAAAACGAATAAAAAGAAGAAAAAAATTTCATCTTCTAAAAATACTAAACCTGAAATGGTATATTTATAAATGATGTGATTTATTGTACAAATGACTTTGTTCTGTCAGATTTAATCATCAATTTCAAGCAGTCAAAAATATTTGTAACATTTTTGAGCCATTTTTAAACTTTTTATCAATATTTAGCCAATGAAAAATAAGAATTGAAAACAAAATTAATTATATAAAAATATAAATCAGATTTATCTGAAAATATAGTATAATGAAATGTTACGTTTAAAAACTATATATTCTTCAACATTTCAAAAAAGTATTGTATCGCCGCCACTTAAACTATTTAACTCCATTAAAAAGTGCTAACAATTTTAGGAAACGTGTGTATTAGTCTCCGAATATTTTGTACAATTTCAGTAACTGTACTTAGCAGAAGCAGAAAGGGTCTCTCATTAAGTTGGATAATTTACTGAAGACATGACAAAATCAACAACGGTTAAAGAAAGATTTAATTCATTTGCTCTTTTATGTATGAAGGACGCATTGGTTTCAAAAATAAATTTCGATTATGACAAAAATAAGTTTGATGTGCTCAAAGCTCATGAAAAAGAATTTAATTTCAACACAACACATTTATTATTCCATGAAGTCAAATAAAAAAAATAAAAAAATACTTTTTTTTCCTTTTTCATTAAAATAGTATTGTAAACAAAATTATATTAATACATTCAAAATACTTATTATTCTGACTTTCAATAAATTTGTAGTAAATATTATTATTGAAAATTTACTTTAAAGGGCCCGTAAAAACATTTAGTACAGAGACCTAAAATTTGACGTGGTGGACTCGAGTACGTGCACACGTGAAAAACGAATGCTTTTTTTATTATACAGGAATACGCGTAATTCTATCATAGTAAGTATTAAAGGTGTCGATGACATTAAATGTGCAATTTGGTACTACTTAAAACATCAAGCACTATGTATTGTACACAAGACTAAATGGTGAACACCAATAAACCCGACGCTTTCCGCGGACAACATTCTTCAGTCGAATCATTCGCATGAACAAACGGCTTAGCGTAGGCGGCCCCGACTGCAAGAACATAAGAGAAAGCTACGATGGCCGTTCATCCCACGGACAATTAGATACGTTTATGTATCGTAGGTATACGTGTATTATAAACCATTGTGAGTGTATTATTGAGACGAGGTCGTACGATGATAATGGAATTATGTATTGACACAAGACAAGGCATACAATATTATAATAAAAAGACTAAAAATATATTTTTATACTTAATACCTAAGTACACGTTATAATATGTGTGTGTGTATGTAGGTAGTAACTGGCAACAATCTATATTTTAGACAAATTCGACGTAATAATACAAAATGTGGGTAACTTTAGGGTACCCCTAAGCAGAGTTTTTTTTTCCGTGTCATGTATGCGTATTTTTGTGTAAGTACGGATGTAACACGTTATCTACTATCATTTTGAACGTATTACAACTCGAACCAATGAGAGGGGATCCAAACTTTTTTATCTCTTAGTACGGTATTTCGATCGATGTTTTTAAACACTGGTCTATCGCACGATCGCTAAAATTAAATCCCCAGGCACATTTTTGGACATTTTATTATACACCCGCACATAATTGCATGTCTATGAACAATGTGTTGCGTGACGTACCTGGTTGTTGAACGGGGGTAGAGCTTATCCGTCCAAACTTTCCGACGACCACCGTCAAGAATACGGCCACGGTGGTCGCGACGGCAAGCGCCGTCGGCGAACCTGCGGGCCACATGTCTTCGCGCGGCTTAAGCGCCCCGTGCTCAGCGACAGCGTTTCACGTACCCTTCATCGTCGTCACACTGCGGCGGGTCCGCCGATTTTTTTTCGCGGACGCATGTTTTCGCAATACACCGCACCGCAGAAGGCCAACCAACGATTCATGCCGTCGACCGCTGCCGTGACCGCCGCAACGGCGACGACATTCTTCGTGCCATTTGTGTGAGAAAATAATAGGTAAAAAAAGAGAAAGAAATACGACGGTAAACGCACGCGCGACCGGCAAACGGCAACGACACAGGTGATGACTGAAGGTTTGACGTAGGATCGCGTTTTCGGTATCTTAAATTATGATTTATTAGCGCCGGATTAAACTGCAACTACGGACGAACGCGGAACGCGCGCGCGACACAACGTACGACACGAAAAGTAAACGACTGACTGGCGAGCAGTGACTACTAACTATAGTGACTGGTGGTCGGCGAACGAGCGGCGGCGGCGGCAACGACGACTACGACGACGACGACGACGACAAAGAACAGCGTCGGTGGTAGAAGTGGTGTTGTTGATGGTGGTGGCAGCAGTAGTATGGTGGCGGTGACGGTGGAAGTGGTGACCGTCGCTCTCGCAACAGCTGAGGGAACCGCAGTTTGGTCGGTTCCCAGGCATCAGAGCGCAGCACACGCAACACGTGCATCGTATGAATTTCCCCGCCGACCGCGTTCACATTTTTTCTCCTCAAGCGAGCTCCCCCCCTCAATCGCACCCCTACCAGAGGACGATTGCCGGTTAGATACGTTCGTCCCGTTTTGTTCGTTACGCCGAAATAACGATAATTCCCCTAGCCCCGCGACCGTCTTTACGGGGCAACCCTCACCATGATCCGACTTGGTACCTATCTATACCGTTGGGGTGACCCAACGAGGTCATAGAATCCCTGCAGCGGCGCCCGAATATCAAAGTATACATTATAATATATTTAGGACAAAGCGTCTTAAGGTATTGAATGCACCACCACTTCCACTTATGCCACTGGTCATGTCTATGATATCTCTTGACATATTTTTATTTAGTTTCCCAAAAACACCCGCAAATTAGAATGATCTTCCATAATAAGACAATAAAATTAAAACATAGACACATGTAGAACTCCTCCTAGGGCTGCAATGTTTCCCAATCTATGAGTCGTGAAATATTTTTTATGGATTGCCAGTCGCGACCTATAGTTAAAATATACATGAAAATAATTTTAACAGAAAATTTATAAATGCCTAAGTTATGTTTTATTTGAAACCTCTACATATAATAATAATAATTTTAAGTTTCACTAGTATTATAGATTTTACAATGTAGATATCTCCATAAGATTATCTTATCGGTATATGTGCTAATGACTGTCGATATGGAATAGGTCAATTTTTCATACAGTTGAATAATAAATAATACATAGAGACTGCGAGAGTAAGTACAATCAAAGTTTTAGTTTATGATTAGACATTGATCATTTTTAAATACTCAAATTTTATATAATGTATATTAAGTTTTAATTTTTCTAATGGATAAATTTATTGTTTGTAAAACCACATCCGGTGGTACCAGTCAATCAGTTCCATCAGACAGTTCAGTGCAATACAAATTTTTTTTTTTAGTGTTGGTGGAGGTGGATCGCGAATCATCAAGCAGTAAATTTATGGGTCGTTATTACAAAAAGGTTAGGAAACACTGTCCTAGAGCAATCAGTCGTCATCTGAATATGAGTGGAGATTAGAAGTACCACATCTATTGTTAAATATTAGGTATGAGTAAAAATACACTTTAAATTTTAAAATAGTAAAAGCAAGAAGTTCCAGTGAATTTGGTTTGGTAAAATAAAGACAGTCGATACTATAATACAATAATACGATGATACAAAGTATAATCAAACCAGGTTTTACCTGGATTTACAAATCTTTATACTTCAACTTTATAAATTATAACATGTCAACACAATAACTTCTAAAAAACTGCAATCGTACTACTCGTAGTCTCGTATATGGACCGTATAATATAAAGGCGTATTCACGTATAAACAGTCTTTTCTTACAAGGAATGCCTCATTTATGTAAATATGTAAATAATATCACAATCCATACCTAGGTGATTGATGTGCGTCTTACCATGACTTGCTGTCATCAGAATCCTCAGAAACCTGTACGTTGTCCACTAGTAGTAACTAAAGAGTCGGTTAGTATAGCGACGCGCTTAGTGAGTATCATCGTTAATCAATTGATGATTGCAGATGCGATCTCATGCACAATAATAGATCCACCAGAATATTGTTACGTCACAAAAAACTATAAAGACGCAGTAAAGTACTTTCTGTATAGGTACATATTATAAGGCTTAAGTGGATTTTTCACACGTGAATACAATTTAAAATTGTAATTTTAATACAAAGCTTAATAGTATATAATAATTATTATAATGAATCGTAAACAACGATCGAAATTGGTTTGATCAAGAATTGGATGTAGAGAAAACAGCTAACGAAGGAAAATATTACGATTGCAAGTTCACAAATTCTGTATGACGTACTAAATATTCTAGTACAATACATTTTTAATAACGGTCATGATCGTATATACGTCCTTAACTTAAACCGTATTTAGGATCATAATTTAAAATTTCGTTAACGGACGTTCGCCAAAAAGATAGATATAGATATTGAAGTTCATTAAAATTTAGCACTTAAAAAGTACATAAAAGGTTAATACAGTAATGTTTGAAACAATTTAATCGTAATATTATAGACTTCTAATAATCTCCATACCCCATCATAATGTAAAACAACCTACATCGTATTTTACAAGTTATAACTCCTAACAATTAAAAATTACTGAATATTTATATCAATGTAATGTGTATAAAGTGTATTAATATACTAATATAGTGTATACTTGATAAACTACTACACTATATTATTAAATTCATTCATTTGAAGGAATTTGTCTTAACTCTAAAGCCTAATAAATAAATGTATAATATTTATAGTTTTTATATCAACTTCTCAGTTAAGACTTAAAAAATAAACTTAAAAAAATAGAATATAACTTGCTATGATGTGATTTCACGAGTTTTAATGATACTATCCTGCTTAATTTAATAGTTATTACTATCAAATATCAACAATATAATATAATATAATATATTATAATGATATGATTCAATTAAAAATTAACTGTATTTTTTGTTATTTAATTACTAATTCTTAAATAATGAATTCAGTAAATCTTGTCATCCAATGTAAATATACTATATATTTTTATGTACTTGTACTTTATCTAGGTACTTCAGTTAAGGATGATGTTCTTGAAAATTGTATGTAAATGTAATGTATAAATGATTTATGCAAAAGTTGTTATTCAAATATAGTTACCTACACAAACCATACATAACATTATTTGTTTACAAATTATTTTACCCGTGCTTTTCACTCATATCTATTGTACTTGCATTACCTTATAGCAATTAGTTATTGTGCATTTGTTTTCATCTATCTATTTTACATCCGAGTATCTTTTAGTATAATTTTGATACTTAACTCTATTTTTATTATATGTAATATGTATTTTATTTAATAATTTAACTCAATATAAGAGTATAGAATATTTTTACAACAACTTATAACAGTTTACGGAATAACGTCAATACAATTATTAAGATGATAGAAAAATTAAAACTCTTAAGAATATGAAAATCCACCCCAAATTATGTTCAAAGTTAAAATCCAATATTCCTTATTTTACAATATTACAGAAAATTGTATACTATTATTTGCTCATTTGCATTGGTAGTAACTGTATTTTTATTGAAATATTATAATCTCGAGACAATCAATCAAATAGATTACATGTAAATTATTATAATTTGTAAATAAAAATATTATAACTCAAGTGAAGAAATTTGTCATTATAATAGAATGCCCGGATCAAATATACAATGCCCTCAATATTTGGGCAAAGACTATGACTAATCATTATAATAACATTTTATTATCGAATTCAATGGTAAATTTGTTCGGGTAATGTGATGCAATATAATAAACCTGTTATATATGTTAATATATAATATTCAAAGCTGTGCTAAGCTATTTATCGCCAGAATAAAATATTTTCAAGAGCTTCTCTCGACTCTTTTTATGTAACTGATTCAGAAAAGATGGCTTTATATAGTGTATAAAAAAAATAATAAGCATATTTTTACCAATAAATTAAATAGTTCTGAAAATATTTCAAATAAGTAATAGCTATAAATTTTAATTTAGAATCATTGCTGTTAGAGCTGAGTAATGGTTACTGCAGACTTCAAAATATTATTAAAGTAATATTGTCATTATGTCAAATTTTCATATTTATTTATTAATTAATATTTGAGAGGGTTGTTATTTAAATATCCCCTTAGCCACCTTCTTCTCATAAAACGGCATTAATAATATCGTACTCACTACCCATACACTGACGCGTTAATACATTGTGTCTTTGTTTTTATGATTATATAATTACTTTTTTTGTCTGTTTGATTCGTTATCAAAGATAAATTACAACATTAATAAATTATATATCAGTCAACAATTTTCGATGAAGAGTTTTATAGTGTTAATGACGTTTTTTGATATTCAGTTACCAATAAAAGAAGTCGAAGTTAGGCTGCCTTCAGATTTGTGTCCAAAAATATTTTGAAACAAAGAAATACAAAAACAAAACGGAAGCGGCTAGAATCGTATGCAACTCTAGATGTTTTAATAGTAATACCTACCTATAAAAATAAATAGGTTGATTATGTTACAATAATTTTTAATACTATTATAATATTATTCAACCTTAATTTTTTTTAATTAATCAATATCATTATAAATGTCTACTTTAATCAATAAATCTAAACAACAAATTAAGCATATTTATATATTTAGTTTATAAAGTATTTAAGTAGTTTAAAAATAGGTAGTCATATAGTCTCTGATCTATGTGTATAGTTATCCAAATGGCTAAAAACAATATAAGGAAAGTATTAGCTAATTATTACAAATTATATTAAGACACTAAATTTTCAAATCCCTTTTTGTACTTTAATTTATATATTATATCACACTATCGAATAAAATACCAAGAAAAATATAGTAAGCAACACTACAAATTATAAGCCTTGCAACAACAACATTATTATTTTAAAGGTGTAGTGGACTAAAAACTTAAAAAATATTCATATTAAATAACAACAAATCTTAAATTACTTAATGTATATTATAAAATTAACCAATTAAAGTATTTATTAAATTAATAACCTAACCTAACTGGATGGTTTGGGTGATAAATACTATGGGTATAATTATTTTAAAGGATAAAAATATTTAAAGCAACAACTTACATAATAAGGTCATACTATGTTTACACTGATGATTATTAAGCAACACGCTCATTATTTCAAGAAAGACCAAAACATTTTTTATTACACTTATTTAATATAAAGTCGCAAATAATATTATTGGAAAAAATTATATTTTACAATTTTCCA